AGTCGCCAAAAACCTTTAATTTGGGCTCACTACAAGAATTTTCATTTTTGGCGATTAAATTTTTAGTCGCCAAAAGTCATTTTTAGTCGCCTATAGTCTTTAGCGACTAAATTTTTTGGTCGGAAAACTAGTAGCCGAAGAGTAGTCAGCAAAGCGAATTGGCGACTAAAATGTACTCATTTGCCGACTAAATATTTAGTCGCCAATAGGTTGGAAAATTAATTAAATAATACATTTTTGCCAACCAATTTTTTTGTCGCCAAAAGCCAATGATTTAGTCGCGGAAAAATTTTTAGCTACAAAATTTTTTAGTCACCTAAAGCAAATACTAGTGTTTTGGCTACAAAAATTTTAGTCGCCCAAAGTCAATTTTTTTTAGCTACTAAAATTTTAGTCGGCAAAGAGTTCTTTTTTGACTACTAAAAATTTAGTCGCCGAAAGTCCCCATCTTTGGCTACTAAATATTTAGTCGGCAAAGAGTTCCTCTTTTGGCTACTAAATATTTGGTCGCCTAAAGTTCTACATTTTTTGCAACTAAAATTTTAGTCGGCAAAAGTGTTTTTATAATTTAGTTTTTTCTTTTTAGCTAGGAAATATTTTAGTTGCCAAATGTTTGATTTTCTTTTGGCTACTAAACTTTTAGTCGCCAAATGTCTTTTTTTTTTTTTTTTGGCTACTAAACTTTTAATCGCTAAATGTCTTTCTTTCTTTTTTTTTTGGCTACAAAACTTTTAGTCGCCAAATGTCTTTTCCCAATTTCTTTTTACATACTAATTGTTTAGTTGCCAAAAACATGATTTTTTGTTTTATCGCGAAATTATAATTTCTCTACAACATGTTTATATACAATGTAACCTGTAATACGTATATAAAAAAATGATACATACTATTAATCATTCCACAATCTGCATCCAGATACCAAAAATAAATAACATTAAATATCAAAGTCCATACAAATCAACTATTGTCCAAACTAAAATAATAATTCCATACAAAATATATCATAAAAAATTAAAGGCCTCTGTATACAAAAAATACATTTACTACCAAGCGAAATTACCATTTGGTATAGTACAAATTACCATCGTAATCTGTACTACGACAAAATGTGATATATGTACCACGACAAAAGTTTTCTATGGACCATGACAAAACATCCTATATGTACGTCGACAAATAGTATATATGTACCACGACAGAAGGGGATCTATGTGCCACGACAGTCATTATCTGTTGATTGTCAAAAGTTTTTTGTATCAGTAATAATGAACTACACAAAAGATGAGTATGACAAAAGTATTATATTAGTTCTACACAAAAGTGAAAATTTTTCTCCATACACCAATATGGATTATCCACAAGTCCACACAACAAAACCATTTACAAAGAAAAACAAAAAACGAAACATTAGAATTGGTTACAAAATATCAATTTAGTCAGTCATATGAAACATGTTCTAACATGCATTTAAGGTAGAAAAATTGAGAAATGTCTTCTTGGAAATAAAAGAAAGTATATATACGTATATATATGTATCATGCAATATTTATTCCAACCAACACAAATAATGTAATATGTAATTTCCTCGTCCTATAAATATATAAAGGCAATTATTAGAATATGTAGATGTTATTTTAATAAAGTTATTGCTTTTTGAACTAAGTGTTGCAAGTTTTTCGACTAAGTGTAAGGCGTATTTGAGGACTGTTATGAATTTTCACCGCCGGAAAGTCTTTTTTCTAATAAGTTTAGGGCGTATTCGGCTCTAACTCCCAACCTATGGGTCCGAATTACATTCCGTTAGATCTCACAAGTCCTATTTATCATAGCGAAGCTATCCGTGTAAGCCACACAATTGTTCAAGGGCTGTTTTGAATTTTGCTCCCAAAACGCCATTTTTTGACTAAGTTTAGGGCGTATTCGGCTCTAACTCCCAACCTACGGGTCCGGATTGCATCCCGTCAGTTGTCACAAGTCCTATTTGTCATGGGAGAACTGTCCGTGTGAGCCATACGGTGGTTCGGGGGCTGTTTTGAATTTTTGCCCCCGAAATGCCATTTTTCGACTTAGTTTAGGGCGTATTCGGCTCTAACTCTCAACCTACGGGTTCAAATTACATTCCGTTAGTTCTCATAAGTCCTATTTGTCATGGAGGGAACTTTCCGAGTGAGCCACACGATCATTCCGGGGCTGTTTTGAATTTTCACCCCGAAACGCCCTTTTTCGACTAAGTTTAAGGCGTATTTGACTCTAACTCCCAACCTACGGATCTGAATTATGTTTCGTCAGTTCTCACAAGTCCTATTTGTCATGGCGAAGCTATCTATGTGAGC